CCAGTCTGGGCGACCGAGTGAGACTCCAACTCAAAAAAACAAACAAACAAACAAACAAAAGTAAATCTAGCTGGGTGTGGTGGCTCACACTTGTAATTCCAGCACTTTGGAAGACTGAGGTGGGATTTCTTGCTCTCAGAAGTTAAGACCATCCTAAGCAACATGGTTAGACCTTGTCATTTTTTAAAAATCCCCAAAAATTTTTAAATGGGAAAAAAAAAAAGAACCTATATCCAAAGAAGTAGTAAATTTTGAAATTAATTCTGGAAAATAATTTAAGTGTTAAGGATTTTTGTGACTAAAATCTAAGTAATTTTTGCGTTTCTTTTTCTTTTTTTTTGAGTTAGTCTCATTCTGTTGCCTAGACCAGAGTGCAGTAGCACCCTCACAGCCACCCCAGCGTCAACCTGCTGGGCTTAGGTGATCCTTCCACCTCAGCTTTTCTAGTATCTGGAACTACAGGTTCATGCTACCATGCCCAGCTAATTTTTTGATGTATTGTAGGGATGAGGTCTCACCAAGTCACCAGGCTGGTCTCGAGTCCCTGGACTCAGGCAGTCCTCTTGCCTCGGCTTCCCAAAGTACTGGGATTACAGGCTTGAGCCACCGTGCCTGACCAATTTTTGTGTTTCTTAAATCTTAGAGTATTATAAGATCTAGCTGCTATCTTTGAAGAAACTATCTAAGAATCTTCTATATAACGAATAGATTACTTTAGGAAAAAAACTGTCATTTCTTATCTGATATTCATTTTTATTTTGGAAACATAATCTGTATTCATATTTGGCAGAGGAAGGGGGCCTTAAAAGGTCGTGACCATGGTTTTCTGAGTCTTTTCTGAATTTTTCTCAGGAAATGTAAACATTGCTTTTCAAAAATATCAGCTCCCACAATTAGAGCATAAATTCTTTACTTTTGTAGTTTACGTTTATATTTTCTTGTAATGGTTATGTATGTCTGTAACAACTATGTTCTTTTGGGGTTTTTTTGTTTTTGTTTTGAGTAGGAGTCTCTGTCACCCACGCTGGAGTGCAGTGGCATGCTCATGGCCACTGCAGCTTCAATCTGCTGGGCTTAGGCAATCCTTCTGCCTCAGCTTTCCAGGTAGCTGGAACTTCAGGCATGCGCCACCATGCCCGGCTAATACTTTGATTTATTGTAGAGACAAGGTCTTGCCATGTTACTCAGGCTGGTCTCAAACCCAGGGGCTCAGGCAATCCTCTCCCCTTGGCCTTTCAAAGTGCTGCGATTACAGGCACAACTATGTTCTTAGTAGTTGAGATGTTGATGCAATTGTTTTTTTTTTTGAACTGGAGTTTCACTCTGTTTCTTAGACTGGAGCGCAGTGGCGTGCTCATGGCCACTGCAGCCTCGACCTGCTGGGCTCAGGCGATTCTTCCACCTTAGGCTTCCAAGGATCTGGAATTACAGACACGCAAACTATACCCAACTAATTTTTTGATTAATTGTAGAGATGAGGTCTTGCCAAGTTGCCCAGGCTGGTCTCGAACCTGTGGGCTCAGGCAGTCTTCTCACCTTGGCCTCTCAAAGTGCTGAGATTTTAGACGTGAGCCACTGCGTCCAGCCGATACAATTTTTTCCTTGTTCCATAAAGAAAAACTTGTAATTTAAAATTCAGTAATTCCTTCCCTGAACTAGACTTTGAAATAACGTATTGAGGCTAGGCATGGTGGCTCACACCTGTAATTCCAGCACTTTGGGAGACTGAGGCTAGAGGATTGCTTGAGCCCAAGGGTTTGAGACCAGCCTGGGCAACTTAGTGA